GTAAACATCTAAGGAATATGGTGAAACTCCATAAAGAAGGTGTTTGGGTGCCTCACGAACTCTCCAATGATCATCATTTCCAACATGTAAATGTTGCTTCGTCTCTTTTGGCGCATAATGCACGTGAACCATTTTTGGACAGAATTTTCACTGGTGATGAAAAATGGATTTTCTATGCAAATTTTAAATACTAAAAAGAATGGCTCAGTCCTAGACAAAAACCACTTCCGACCCCAAAACCTGGACTGCATTCGCAGAAAGTGATGCTTTGCATTTGGTGGGACATTAAAGGAGTAATTCATTTCAAACTCCCCAATCCACAGTGAATTGTCAATGCAGAGATCAATAGTCAGCAACTGGAATGTTTAAATTAAGCCTTTCATCAGAAACGCTCTTCACTCGTCAATCGGAAAGGTGTTCTTCTCTTCAACAATGCACGTCCACATGTGGCACATTTGATGCAACACAAGTTTATGGAGTTGGGTTAGGAAGTTTTTCCCTCACCCACCATATTCTCCAGGTATGGCACCATTAGATTACCATCTTTTTCATTTGCTGCAACACCATCTTAATGGGAAAACATATACAAATGTGGAACGTGTTAAAGAGGACATTGACATGTTTCTAGCTTCAAAGCCAAATAATTCCTTTGATCACGGCATTAACAACCTGTTTGTAAGATGGAAAAGCATCATGGATAAGAATGGAGACTATTCAGTAAGCGGAATGGCTATAATGAGTCATGGGATGGAGTGCACCAAACTGGTGAAACCTGACCACAACTCAAATGTCTAAGTTAAATAGCATAAATGATCACCTCAACCCTTATGCACCTCTGTATATGTAAGCCTCATTTAGGTTATAAAGGGGGGAATGAATTTATGCCTTTTTTTGAGTTGATGCAACCTGATGTACACAGGTAAAAAGCAGGGAATAAAGGAAAACAATAAGTTTAAAATCAAATCAATTTCTGAAGCTGTAAAAGGAACATTTAATTTAGCTTGTTTTAATTTATGTGTTGAATATAAATTATTTGCTGACAGTGAACCCAAATATATGCAAATATACATAGGGCTTAGCTTCATTAACATGGTATATCAGTTTCAACAGTAGAATATATTTAGAGTACAAAGAGTATATATACTGGAAACACAGATACTAGTATATTGTTAGCTTCTTGATTATATTAAGATGGTTTAAGAAAAAACTGTTGATATACATTATATACTTGAAATACAGGTACAATTATATTCATCCATATATAGTATAATCAAATTACACAATATTAGTACTAACTGTTTACCAATAATGATCTTCAAATATGTCAACATCATACTGTTAGTTAACTTAGAGTATAGGTATTTCCAAAACACACCTCTGCTGACACTTATAGCTATTATTTGACCACCGGGTTTCAATCTTTGCCCATCTAAGCATTGGTCTTTTTCTTTTTATGTTTTTGCTTGATCCAGTCTTTTATACCTTACTCAATTGCCCTAGTCGATATACTCTCCACCTACGTAAGTGTGCTCTCTATCCTGATACTGTATATAAGCACCTCATTCAGATAATTTTATCACTTTTTCTTGACAAAGTGTTTAGATGTGGATTTATATACACAAGTGCTGTGATTTTTGCATTGCTTAGTGGCTATCTGTATAAATTATATTTAGTAATTATTATTTAAAAATACAAAAAACTGCATCATGTTATTTTCAGGCATGAATTCACAGGTTACCATTTCCAGCACAGAGACTAATCAGTCCTCCTCTATTCTACCTCCATTATCCAGCATCTCTCAAAGGTCGGCAGGGGGGAGGAGGTCACTTTTGGTTGAGGCTGTCAATGAGATGGAGACAAATATTCAGTCTGGGGGCATCTCTCCAGTGTGTTCTGAGGCTACTTTTATTGAAGATCCAGGATAGTCTGGAGAGAATTTGGTTTCTCTTTTTCCAGCACCTTTGTTTCCTAGGCCAGCTTTTTACAAGGCCAATTTGGATCAGCCACTTCTTGCTCCATTTCTTAGTTAGTCAGTCGGGTTTGTGAGGTTATGGGGCTTTCTCCGATTGCCTTTGAATCTACTTCTTCCTTGATGGCTGATAGGTCTGAGGGTGACTACTTAGTTTTTTCTCCTTCATCTGATATTGTTGCTCATTTTGGAAGATTTACTGCTTTATAGATGACAGGATAGATATATATACCTTGTCACCCTCATTTGTGTGAATAACATGTTTTGGCTTACCACCACAAGATGGACATACATTTTGATTCCAAAAACTAGATCCTCTTTTCAATATGTGGGGTTCCTATGATCACTTTGAAAAGGTCACAATTTCCCAGATTTACTTAACCCTTACTTTTGTTTTGGATTATTTTTTCTTCCCTCCCCCCTCAAAATTTTTTTTTGTCAGAAGCCTATCAGTGGTCCCCACATCAAGTTGAGGCCAAATTGGGTCTTTTGCTGACTTCTATTATGGTAAGATTGTCAGCTTCTGCTCTTTCTTTGGTTTCCTGCTTTTATACTGTTGGGATTTATTGGGTAGAAATGCCTTGCTGTAGCCCTCTGTGAGTTACGCGTAGCTCCTTTTCTTTGTCCCTTGATGTTTGTATGGATTCCAGAGGCATTGGAATCATTAATTGATGTTTGCTTTTTTCATTGTTGGTGTTGCCTTTTAGACTTTCTTTGGCTCCTGCTGGAAGTCATTGTGTGTCCTGGCCCCTGGCTTCTGTTCCTCACTTTATTGGTACTCAGAACAGATTCCATTCTTAATTTTTAGGCTCCTCTGCTCAGGCAGACCATTGCCAATAACATTGCTGACTACCCTATGTGGGTGGGGTCTGTAGGAGTGAGGTTAGAACAATTGAAGGACACCTAGAATTCCTTCACCACAGATCCATGGTACTTCAGGTTTTGACGTCAGGGTTGGTCATTCATTTAACTTCTCCAATTCCATGGGGTGTGGATCTTCATTCCATTTTTATCAGAGTTATTGGTCAAGGGGGCGGTAGAGAGAATCAATCCTGTGCTTTTGGGATTTATCCCCCTTTATTTGTTGTGCCTAAAAAAGACAGGAGATTGGTGGCCGATCATCAATTTTTTCCTCTCAACCAATTCTTAGTACCTCCTAGATTCACAGTGGAGTCCTTTCTCAACCTGTGTTTACATTCTTCACCTGGTCTATGGATGACCAAGTTTGATTTTGCTCATGCATATCCCCACATTCTCATAGTGAAGTCACCTTGCCACTATCTATATTTCGTGCACAGTGGTAAAGTTCTGCAGTTCAGGGTTCCACCCTTTGACTTAACATCTGCACAATATGTCTTCTGTGGAGTCGTATGAGTTTTTCTTGTCACCTTCATACTTTGGGACTGTGCACACTCTGTTATCTGGGTGACTGGTTACTTCTGGCACCATCTTGTCAGTTGGCAGAATAACACACCCAGATTTTCCTTTCAGAAGTCACCAAGGCTGGCTTTCTTATCAGAGCCGAGAAATACATTTTCTTGCTGACTTAATATATTGCCAATTTGGGTGTCATTTTCAACATTTTAAGCCGGGATCAGCCAACTCCCATCTGGCTCCAGGCTATGGAATGGGCAGTCAGGGTTTTTCTCACGTGGATGGTTCTATCTTTTTTGGGAATATGGGCATCCCTTGATTCTCTGATTCCTTTGAGATGATCACACAAGTAGTCCCTTCAGTGGTCACTGTGTGACCAATGGATCACAAATTCAGATCCGCTGGATCATCCAGTCTCCTTAATCAGGAGCAAAAGCTTAGTTCTTGAGTGGTGATTGGATCATTTCAACACAACCATTAGTGTTTCTGTACTGCCCCATCATTCCCAAGTTTCATCTCTTCACTGATGCCTCACTCACTTCAGGGATGGGGTGCATATATTGAAAGTCAGGAATTCCATGATCTATGGATGGAAGACAAATCTTCCTTCCACATCAATAATTTAGAACTTCTTGCTGTGCAGCAGGCAATGGTTCAAGGTCTAGATCTACAGCAGGGGGAAATCATCATGATTCATTCCATCAATTCCACAGTGGTCTCTTACATTTCCCGTCATAGGGGAATGTGTTCTCCATTCAGGACTCGGATGATTGACGCATTCACCACTCATTGAAACTCTCAACTACAGCTGTTTTTGGTCCCTGGTACCTCATCCTTGAGCTTTAGTGATAGATGCATTCAGTCAAGATTGAATGAGATTGCAACTCTGTGCCTTTCCCCCAATTCGTCTGTTACCAAGATCTCTGGCTATGATTTGATTCTCTACATGAGAGCTGTTGGTAGCCCCAGATTGAGCAGCCCATTCATTGTTCTCTTTTCTTCAGTATCTTCAAGAGGGTCCACCTCTGCCTCTTCCTCTTTGGTTATTTCTGTTGAGGCAACCTCAATCCAACAATCTATACCTGAACTTTCCCAAACTCAAACTTTGTGTATATAAATTATATGGTCCTTTGCAAGGCATCAGGGTTCTAACATCAAAATTGCCTTGTATGTGTAGACCCATAAAGGCCATTTATCAACAGAAATGGCACACTTATAGCCAATGGTGTCTCATGAGGAAATTGAACCACTTCACCCAAAAGTTCCCAACATATCTCATTTTTTGACTCAGGTCTAGCTTCATGTACTATTGATTTATATGAGGCAGCTTTATCGACTACTTTTTGTTATTCTCAACATCAGAAAGTTTTTGAATCCCCAGTGCTATTTGGCATTCTCCAATCATTTAGAGTCCTTCATCCCAAATGGCCGATTCAGTTACCCAACTGGAATATTCTAGAGGTATTACATGCTTTGTCTTGACATCCATTTGAGCCTCATGTACCGTGTATCACCTTTCTCTTAAAGGGTACTTTTTTGTTGCTGCTGGCATATGGACATTGTAGGTCAGAGTTGTTTGCACTACAGGTTCACGGGACTCTCTATCTCTCCACTTCGGTCCAGCCAAAACCGTGATAGGTCTTTTCTTCCTAATCCTTTGGCAGCTAGGAAAGGGGATAAATCCTTCTAACCAATTCTTTGGCCAGCTATTTCTCCCCTTTATGACCAATCGGACACAGATCATTTGTTGTGTCCTGTTAGAGCCCTGAGGCATTATGTGGCTCATACTAACTCCTTTTGAGGTGATGGAACTCGACTCTTTATTAATTTGGATTCTTCAGTTTTCTGAGATTTATCCCCAATTACTTTGATGAAGTAGCTTTGCAAATTAATCCATATTGCTTATTCTGGACTTTCTTTACAGGCAAGGAAATTCTTGTAAGTCACATTTCATCAGATTCGTCATATTTCTATGTTTGAATTGCCTGCTGGAGGAAATCATATGTTCTGGTATGTAGCCTTCTCCCAGTACTTTTCTTTCACATTCTATACACGATCTGGCAGTTTATTCTTCTGAGGGTTTTTGACTACCTTCTGTGACTGTTTTGACAACATCTGCTAGATTATAATTTTTTTTTTTTTGCCTCTTCTTGTCTCTTTACTTCTCAGAGTCCCTTACCTCTTTTTTTCACTGGATCCCACTCTGTTGCTTTTATCAATCCAATTCTGCACGAGCTACGAATTTAACTATATTTACTACTGGTTGCAACAGGCTCTGTAGAAATGAGGTATTCTATAAGACCACCTAGGAGCTCATCAGATGATATTACCATAATATGATGAACCATCACTCATGGACTATCATGAGTAAAGCTAAAGGGGATCCTGACCCGTCCTCACTGATCATC